GCCTTATTGTATTCCTCTATCCTATCCGCTTCTTAATATATTTTATTTATGCTTCCTCTCTCCTTCTCTTGTTCTTACTGGTCTTTTTTTCTCTCTCCTATTTACTATCTGTTGTCTCCTTCTGTTCCTTTCTTTCCTGCTTCCTGTGACTTCTATCTTCCCTTCTATTTTCCTCCCCGATTTATTTTGCCCTTTTCTCATCCCTTCTTCCTTGTTTTCTGCCTTCTTGCATATTTTTAGCCTTGATTTCCCATTTCTTCTTGTTTTCTCTTTTCATTTCTTCTTTCGTTATTTGTTCTTCGCTTTATTATTATTCTGGCTTCTTTTTCTCTTCTGCTCTTCATTGCTTTCTCTCTATTTTTCTCGTTTCCTTTGCTGTTTTCGGGCTTTTTTTTCCTTTTGCTTCTGCTTTTTCTTTCTTTCATTCCTTGTTTCTTCTGTACTTTTCCTCGTTTCTTTCCTTCGTGTTCCTGGTTTCCTGCTTTCCTATTTTGTCCTTCTCCTGTTTTGTGTTTTCTGCGTTGTTACCTTACTTCTTTCCTTCTTCTTATTTATTCTTCTCTCCTCGCTTCTCTCTTATTTGTGTCACTGACTATCTTGTTCTTTCATCTTTATAATGCTCTCTTGTTTTATTATTCTTATTTATGTTATCTCTCTTTATGTTTTCTGTCATCATCGTCTTTTGTCTTTCTTTATCATTTTCGTTCTTATCTTGGCCTTTCTCTCTTGCTTTGTTTATTTCTTTTTTTGCTTCTTATTTCTTTCTTTTCGCACTATTTTGCTCTTCGCGTCTGTCAATGTTTCTCTCCTTTTGGTTTTGTTTTATTTTTGTTCTTTCTCTACTATTTCTTCCTTTCTCTCCTTCTCTCGTTTTATTCTCTCGTTCTTATCTCCTTTTCGCTGGCTTTTTATGCTTTATGTCTTCGTTTTATTTTTTTTCTTCCCTTTTTTTTTTTTTTTTTTTTCTTTTTTTTTTTTTTTTTTTTTTTTTTTTTTTTTTTTTTGGT